CATATGTAAGCCGTGCTTCCTTTATACTCACTTTCATCATCATCATCAGAATCTGAAATATCCACATCATCTTCTCTGATGGTTATTCGAGCTAGCAAAAAGTGAGATTACATCAAAATTGTACAAATCTTACAGGTAACGGTTTCAATGCCAAATAAAACACACTGGACAACAGTCTTGATCAGGACTAAAGCATCAAAATTATCCACAGGACTTTCTAAAATAAGCAGAAGCTCATCAAAAAGACTGTTTTAATCACAGAACTGGGAAGTTCTTGAGAACATGATCCTCACTACAGCTTTTGTTTTACAGTAATAACAGCATTATACAGTTTATCCCTTTCCAGGACATCTCTATAAATGGGGCCTGTATTAGCTACTAAAATGTGTCTTCTAAAAATCTAGGTACAGAAAACTATCTATCACAATTCAGCTATTCAAGTTAAGAAAGTAATCAACAGGGAAAAAAACCAAAAAACTCAACCCAATAATTAATTGTGTCACTCATTATATTTATACAGAATTAATCTAGGAAAGACACTTTGATAAGCAAACAAAGACAAGTAATAGAGAAGTAACTTACGGGGGACAAACTGTGACACAATCATCCGGAGGCATGGCCTAAGATGGACAGTTTGTGCTGACACTAGATTGCCAAGAAAACCCAGATATTCTTCCACTACCTCTCGACTTCTTCTCAACCATGGCAGCTTCTACAAGTGAGCAAAGAGCAAGATGTCAAAGAAAGACATTTTGAGTAATAAACTCTTAATCTTCCCACATAACAAACAGATATTTACCAGCAAAATGCTGACCAGTTGATCAAGCTCTTTGGTCAAATACACAACAGAAGCTCGAAATTCATGCAGCCAATTAATGAGCTGGGCATCCTTAAAATAAGCAGAAAAAAAAATAGATAACTATTCCAATAAACAGTATTACTTACTACTAGAAAATAACAAAATCCTTAAAAGCCAAAGATTAAGACTATAACCAGATTTTCACATTAGCATGCAAGGAGTTTCTTTAAGTTTGTGTCCTCACCAATATAAGTTCTCAAATGCAAGAATAAATGCATGCCAACTCCGAAACCAACAGCCTGACTGGAAAACTTAATTACAGGCTGAGCAAGGCATGCAAACCTCACTCATACAGAACATATTTAAAAGAAGTGACATTTAATCTTAATTTTCTTTTCTTTATGCTCTAGTTTAAGCAGAAAGGACATTCAAGTATTGAAATAAGAGAGATACTGAAACAACAGCAAATCTACACAGAAAATCTTACACTGATTTTGCCTGTACACTCTGAAAGGCCTGCTAAGAACAAAGTATTTTACAAAATGTCATTTTTAAAGAGAAAAGGAACTTCATATAGCATTGTGTTTTCTGCAGCATTCTTCTCACAGCTTTTTTGCTATAAAAAGAAAAAAAAAAGACAACAAGTGCAGTGGGTACTCACAGCTATATAGAAGAGCCATGAAACAATATTTCTGGGTATAACTACTAAATGCACATCTATCTTACTGCATAATTAAACAATTGTTGTTGACATGAGAAGGTAAAAATTCATGCAATTTAAAGGCTGTCAAAGTCAGAAACCACAGTCTGATCTACAGAAGTATCTGCAAAACCAAGCATCAGTGACAAAGAAATATGGTATCTGGAACAAAGCCAGACCCTGCCACAAAACAAAAAGTTTCTCACTCTAGAGCAGAGTCAGAGACATCATTTATCAAGATCCTGCATAGAAGATATATACATGCATATAGACAGACAACTGATGGGGTTTTTTGTTTGGTTGTTTTTTTTCATTTGGAGTTTTAATTCTAATAGCTTTTTGCTTTGTGGAAACTGTTAAATGCAGGTAAATGTTTTAAGCAAAGGATCTGGGTAAGCATCAGAATGGTTTGCCTGATGATTCTACTCAGACAGGCGAACTTTAAATCATCAGACCAAAACTCTTACCTTTATGTCTGGATCTGACAGCTGATGCTTTAACAACTCAAAATCTGTGGTCTCACCCTAGCAGAGAAAAGAAAAAATAAGTAAATAACACACTTTTTTTTCCCCCCAGAAAAAAATACAGATTTCATCAACGAATCTGAGCAACTTAATATTGCTGAACAGCAGCACGAATAACACCAATGCGAAAGCTCAGGGAAGGCTGGATCAGCAGGAACAGAGTGCCATCCCTGACAGACACCTGAGGCCGCTGGGTCCTTTCCAGCCGCTCTCCCTGCGATCACTTTCCGCCCTCCTCCGTGTGCCAGGCTTCGCATCCAGCCAGGGTGTCTCTCAGGTTGACTCACAGGGGAGATCTTTTCCCTTGCACCGCAATACCGCCTGGCACAAGCCTGCAGCTCTCCAGCCGCCCTCAGTTTTTTCCCTCAGCCTTCAGACGCGGTCTTGTGCAAGACCAAGGCAGGGAATCACCCCCCCCGAGCCCCGGCGCCCGGCAGCGCACGCAGCCTGGCAGAAAGGGAGCCGCCCGCCGACAGCCGCCACTCACCTTCTCGTACTTCAGCAAGATGTCCGTCAGAGTCCCCCCGAACCGCACCGTCTTCCTGGGCGGGGAGCTGATGAACTCGTCCCCTCCCAGCATGGTGGCGGACCCCTCACCTGAGGGAAGGCGGAGACGCGTGAGCACCCGCGGGCCTCCCCTCGCCCTCGACCGCTCTCCCTCAGGGGCCCGGCCCGCCCAGGGGGGACCCCACCGGCCGCCGACGCCCCTCTCCTCAGCGGACGGGCAGAACCGCCCCCCCCGCGACCCCCCGCCGCTATCCCGCCTTGCCTTGCGGTGGCGGCAGCGCGCGCCCCGCTAGCGGGGCAGGCGGCGCCACGCGCCGCGCCCCTCGCACGGTGCCTGCCCGCGCCACCACATGCCGCAGCCGGGCGGAAAGAGCGCCGTCCCCGCCGGAAACGGGGAGGGCCCCGCCCCTCGGGCCATAGAGAGGAGGCGGCTGGAAGGGCCGGCGCCGCTCTAGGCCCGCCGTCGGTGATGCGGGAGGACCGAGGGAGGCGGAGAGGGGCGGTGGTTTGGGGGTTATTTGAAACACACGCCGAGCGGCTGCGTGAATGGGGGTAGCAGCTTGGAGAGCCTGTAACTCCAAAGGAACTAAACGCTAAATGCGGAGAAGCCTTCGACAACTTTTAGAGCAACCCGGGTAGGTATAAATGGAAACATCGATTTTTCCCTTCTTTTTTTAATGCAGTTGAGCACATAACGCTCCCGCCTGCAGCCCTCAGACGCCGGTCCCGGCGGCACACGGCAGGGGGTGCCCCCAGCCCCCGGCACCACCCCAGTGGTCCCGCCCCCAGGAGTCAAGACCAACAGATTTTTTTGGAGAATTTACTCATAATTTATTTTCTCCCTGGAAGAGATGTAACCACATAAGAAAAGTAACCCATATATACCCGTTAGAACTGTCTTTAGATACAGCCCACATCTAAAGCGTCTAACATGAGCATTTGGTCCTTCTATGCAGCTACAAGTTTGGGGTTTGGCTTTTTCCCTTTAGTGGGATATAGGACACGGGTTCAAGCAAGTTGGAAGGCTTAACCAGCTACAAAAAAACCTCTTGTATGATCACACTCCTATAAGCAGAGTGGTTCATTGCAGTTTGGGCTGTGTTTTCAGATGGCGTGCATGGGACTGTCGTTTATTCCTAAAAGAATCCCAGGGTTAGATGCAAACCCCACGCTCCTTTGGCCACACCGGCCTGAACCTCTGCCAGCGCTTCCTTCCCAGCACCGGGGCTAAAGCTCTTTGGATGGACCTTGCGCTGAGCTACCGCTGATAAAGGTACCTGGAGACTAAAATAGCATTAAATGTTTGTTAATGTTTAACTGCCAATAATTCAGTGGCCAGTCTCTATTTGGTACTAAGCCTTCCTCATTTAGAAGGCAAACAGACGGCATGGAATGGTAACTGGTTTACATTTTCCAAAGCACAGGATCAAAGCGTACAGTAGCTATTGTTGCCCCTCGGTAAGTGCTTTTCATCTCATTGTTTAGACACACCATACTTGTAACATTTTAGTGCTTTTCTGTGCTTAATGTCCTCCTTTACTGATGTGTCAGTTCCTATATTTAATTTTTGAAACATACATACTGTTCATAATTGTGAACATCTGAATCCCATGCAATTTTTGAGTAAAGTTGCAACAGCCAACAACATTCTAGCTCCCATCTTATGCAACAACTGTTAAGCATTGATACTGGATTTAAATCAATCACACTGTCATCTACAGTGAATGCAAAGCCCTGCTCAAATCACTCCAGTAATTATGATTGCAACACCAGATCAGAACAAAATTTTCACCCGACTAAGTATGTGAATGGCTGCACACAAAAGTTTTTGCCTAATTTACAGCTGCTACTAATCATTCCACTTACTAAACATTACATTTCACAATTCAGTTTACAAGTGAAACAATGGAGAATCAGAAAAAACAAGTTCAGACCAATTAAACGAAAAAGATTCTTGCAAATGACACTGAAAGGGTGATCTCTAGGTTTCAGGGGAGGAGTTTGTTTGGCTTTTTTTTTTTTTTAATCAAACCATTGTAACAACACGGTGGTGTCACATTCCAGTTCCTCAAGAAGGAGGAAACAATTGTACATGCCTCCTAAAAATGGCACTTAGTGAAGAAGAAATTACTTTACAGACCTTCAAGTTTAGTGCTCGACTAACCTTGTTGAAAAACTGAGAGCATTCAGAAAATATATTAAATTAGAATATGTGTAGAAAAGTAAGAAGTTATTCCAGTAGTTTGCAAGAGAACATTACAAACACATTTCAAGAGTTCACAAGGAAGTACAGCCACAGTATTCTTAGCAAACATTTTCTTTAAATCCACCTCTAGCATTCCATAAGGTGTGGCATAAAAACAACTGTACATCAGAATTTTAAGACCTACCCATATTTGCTAATGGTGGGCTCAAACTCCTAGTGTCAGTTCAAAAACAGGAAATCACAAAGAATTTCTCTACACAATAATTTTAGGTATCATTAACTTTAATATAAATCTTTTCTCAGGTGCTACTTCTCAGTTACATCGAAATGTAATTTTTTTAATATTTTATAAAATATCGGAGTATTTGTTAATCAACAGGGTTTTTTTTTTGGTGGTGTCCCCACCCTCCACCAATGCTTCAGCATTAAGAAAATAATTCCCAACATCATTGGACTAAGAATGCCTCTTTCTTAGAATCATCATACTACATCATTTCCAACTATAAAAAATGATGAAAATTTATAACAGTCACTGTAAATTGGGTATTTACACTATAAACAACTTTTACTACATTTGCAACCTTGCATCAGTAGTTTACAATAGATATTTTAAAAGCACCCTTACAAACAAAAGTATTGCACTGACATCATAAAAATTCACAGTAAGTTTAACTTCCAGACCTTGGTAAAACAGTGCAAGAGCTTTTCATCGTGCAAGAGCTTTTTATCAAAACATTCCCAGGTTATTAAAAATAAAAATTCAGAAAAATCCATATTAGACGCTGCAGTGAGTTTTCTGTGAATCAGCTTTGTTTCTTTTTTAGTTCTCACTTCTTAAGAGATACAGTTTATGTTTTGAAATGGTGAAAAAAACCACAAAAACCTTCCCGGTCCAACACTGAAATAGGTGCATTTGGCAGAGATATGGCTCTATGTGTCCATTTTATACAGAGTCCACAATGGTTGCAGTGAACATTCCATAATGAGAGAATCCTATTGCATTGAGTAGGGAATTCTCTTTCCATAATTTGTAGCACTTCCCCCACTTTTAGAGGCAGTATCTTCGACAGTCTTGTCTTCAACAGATCCTGAAGATAATACATTAACAAAAGGTTACTCCAAACAAGTTTTAGAACAAATAGTCATATAAAACTCTAAACTGTCATTTGAAGTAAGTCTTAAAAGTATTTTTCCTCAGGTTTAACAGCCAATTGGGACTCAAATGAAAGACCCATTAAGTCAACAGCCCATCTCCAATGGTGACCAAACGTGGATGCCTCAATATAAGCATAAGAATACAGCGTGCAAGTAGTATCTCCTCAGGATATTATCTCAGTTGCCACTTACTGCCTCAGGTCTTCCAGAACCAAACATATTATATCTTTCCGTCTCTCCTGTTGTTTCCTCTGGCTTTTTGAATCAGTAAATTTTTATCCGTCGCACTGTCCCATGTCAAATGATCCCACACTTCAGCTATATAGCTCACAACAACTCGTTGGTTCCTGCGTTGTCTTGGGAAAGCCATTCCCTACGTACCTTTTCCTACCACTTATGGCTCTATAAGCCTCTAGAATATTTTAGACTCTGCATCTTTTTTTCAGGCTCAAGGACCCTAACCTATTTGTTATTCCTTTTATAGATTTCATTCCAGATCTTGAGGATTCTTACCCTTCTCATTCACTTCTACTATAAAATAGGAAATTGGAACAGTATCCAGTATTCCATGAATAACTTCAATAAGTTATTAATGGCAAGAACCAGAAAATTATCGAAATGACAAAAGCACAGAAATAGTTTATGTGAAGAACAAACTTCCTTGATAAGGCAACAGTTAATTTTCCAAACACTTGCACTTTTTTTTTTTTTTTTTAAAATAGGAAAAATCTGAAGTTAATGGCTCAGGAAACTTTTCTAATGGCCAGTAGGGTGTTGGGTTTCTTTTCTGGTGTGGCTTTTTTTTTGTGGTGGTGGTGTTTTTTTTTTCCCCTCCTCTCTCTTGACAATATCTGCCCAAACATGTTTAACCCGTTTGGTTAAGTTCATAAGTATTTCCAGCTGGGGAGAGGGTTTTGTCTATCAGGAAGGATGATCTGATTCAGACAGTTGTTTTACGAGAAGATATATAAAGTACTTCAGACAAACTTACTTCAAAAGGGAACACTGAATTATCTTTGGAGGTGCAACAATTTGCTACCCTTTATTCTACCTTGAAAGTTAAAATCATGAAGTTTATGTTACAGCGTGTAACAATTACGATGTATACACTCCCTCTGTTTTGGTTTCTTCTGTGTTTACTGTCACATTAGAAGCTACTGTTTACTTGGGAGAACTTGTAATAAAGCACTCTATATATCAGTCTCTACAGGAAATAATAAACCATAGATCATTTCTAATTAAAATCAGTAACAAGACTTGAAATATTTAAAAATAATGGGTAACTTTCAGTACCAGAAGTCCATTACAACAAAATGCACATCTATGTACACGTATTTAAAGTAGGACCATCTACAGAGATGGCACATTATTTACTGAACTCAATATCTATAATTGCCTAACCTTTTTCATCTAACGATTATGGCATAGTCATTTACAAAGATAATTTCTTCCCTGTAAATATTGAACTCTGACAATTCTATTTAAGAAAAAAATGTCTAAAAGGAGGAGGACTTATTTTCAACAGCCCATTTTCTAATTGCAGATATAGTTAATAATAAACTAAATAACAGTAACAAATCTTTTAAAGTTCTGTTGCTGCTTTTCTTTTCCACCTCCTACAAGTTTTCTACTAAGCAATAGTTATCTATATTCTATGTCCCTACTGTTAGAACTTCCTCTGAAGAAAATTCTGTGGCTTTCAGGAACAACAGTTTACAACAAAGTTCATGTGAAAATCGTCAAGAGTAGCTTCAAGATTTAGTTTCAAGGAGCAGCAGAAAAAGCTGACCTTGTACACAGTGAATCAGAACTGCAAGACGTTCAGAATTCTCAAGCAGTTCAGACAGCAGAAAATTGTTTTTACAGTTCCTTCAGAAAAGGATTTTACATACAGAAGTGAAAGCCTGACTTTTTTCTTTCCATTTTCAAAGCATTGAGCATGCTTTTCTTCCTGAATAAACATGGCATATTAATGAACGCAGCGGGGATACTTTGCAAGGCTTGATGACCTTCAACGATGTTTCAAAGCTGGACATGGACGCTTTCTTTGCACACTGGATAGTAGCACATCTTTTTCAGATGACTGAGGTTCAAGACAAGTTATTTAACTATTGATTGCATATACGAGTTCCAAACTAGTAGCTACCACTCTGCCCCTAAGCATTTCACTTTTTTTATTGTTGCTCTTGAAGAAAGAAGCATTTCATGTTGCTAAAGAGGAAGCTTCCCCTCACAAGGGCTCATGTGGGTCGTGGTTAATGGCTATTTCATTACCCTGCACTTAACTTTTGGTGATGTTTAGAGTTAGTCAGGACCAGTTCAGAACCACAGGGCTCCTATGCTTGCAGTAAGCTCTCAGCATGCCAACTCCATCACGCTCTGGCGTGCTTGACTCCAGCTGGCCTTTTCCATTCCGAGACGGCTACAGGAAGTATCTGCCCTGCCTGATCAAATTTGTGCTGTGTCTCTCACTCGATTTCTGTTATTGCCTAAATTGAGAAAGATTCCCCACAACTTTTTTTTTTTTTTTAACTGTCAGCTGTGAGCAAGTGGTTTAACACAAGTTTTTAACTGACTCTCAGTTAAGAGACTTCTCCCAAGTTCCCGACAAACTTAAGGTTCCCCCTCCCGCCCACAATTTCCCTTTCCCTGAGCCCTCTCCCTGGAGGCTGGCCCCGGGACGGCTCTCCCCGGTTCTCACCTGCCGGAGTCGGCGGGGCGGCCCCGCGGGCCCCGGGGGCGCTGCAGCTCCAGGTCGGCGGAGGCGGGGGCGCGGGATCGCGATGCGGGAGCAAAGGCGGAGGAGAGGCGGAGGCTGAGGCCGTGCACCAGCCCCCGCAGCAGGCTATCCCCGCCACCCTTGGGCAGCGCCAGCCCCACGTCGTCGCGCAGCTCCTCCGGCGGCACCTCCAGGTTGCCGGCGTACCAGAACACCCACCAGATGAGGCTGAGGAAGATGCCGATGCCTCCCGCGTAGATGAGCAGGTCGGAGAAGAAGACGTCGGCGAACACGCCGGCCAGCAGCACCGCCAGGCCCAGAGCGTCGAAGGCCAGCGCCAGCCAGAAGGCGGCCACGCAGCGGCCCAGCCCGCCAGGGGCCGCCATCGCGGGCCGGGGTTGGGGGGGGGAAGCAGCGCCGCCGCCGCCGCCTCCTCGGGCCGCCCGCACCTGAGGGGAAGGCGGGGCGCGGCCGGAGGGCGGGGCCGCACCTGAGGGGGACATCCGGGCCACGCCCCGCCGCTCGCACCTGCGCGCGGGGCCACGCCCCAGCGGCCGCTGAGGTGGAAGGCGGGAAGGCCGCCGCCATCAGGGCGGCCACCGCCCTCCGCTTCTCTTGGGCTGCTCCTTTTCGCCGAGGCCCGGTTCCTATCGCCGGCCTCTCCACGCCAGCGGCGCCCCCCGATAAGCACCTTCCTCCTGCCTCTGCCTCGTCGAGGCGGTTGACGCAGCCGGTGCTTCTCCCCTTCGTGAGAGAAGAGCAGGAGCTGAAGAGTGGTCTGTGGTGGCTGTCGGCATTTTGGAGCCGAGGCATCCCCTACAAGGGGTGGTCGCTGCCCTTTCCTTGTGCAGGTGAGCGTGAGGCAGACACAGCTGGACCCATTAAGTGTTTCCAGTTGGGGCAGTGTCACCTTGTGAAGGGGGGTGAGGCCTCTGCCTGCGTTTGCTCAGACACCCTAGAAGGGAGTCACTTCAAAAAAAGACGGTCTTGAGACGCACGTACCTGTTGCAGAGCTCCACACTTGCAAGAGGTGGCAGCCATTAGTAGGCAGCAGGTTTGCAGGGCTGTTATAACGTGCATCTGCAAATAGATTAACATAATAGGCAAGATACATATTTCAGTTCACTCTTGTGTCAATTAATGACCTGGTACCTATCTTTTAACACTCCTAAGTCCTCAAGTACAAAAACTATATTCAGCTGTAGGCTCTCGCAGATACTCTCATGAGGCTCTCACATCTAACGGTTTGTTTAATGATGGGTAAACCACACTTCCAGTAACTAGAAATATCAAGCCAAGGGCAAGTCTGACAGGCCTAAGAGCATATGCAGCTTCCACGTGTTTGTGGAAGTACAGTGTGCCAAGAACTACGCCACTGAGGAAGACTATTCCTCCAATGACAATGAGTGCTATTGCTGTACTGTAGGACTGCAGACTCAATTCCTATCATAACACTCACTTATCATTGCTCCCTGCTGAACACTGAGAATCAAGACTAGGTAAAGCCTCTTCATTAGTTACTGACATTATTCTATAAAAAGACATCCTTGGGAAATGACAAGCTGAAATCCTCTTAAAAAGAAAGAAGTTAAAATCATTCTAAGTACTTCAACAATAAAATGTTTCACTTTGAGACATAATACCACTTCTGTCTTTAGAAGAATTATGGTACCAAAAAAGCCTATACTGCTATCCTTTCTGATTATTTTAAAGTATCTTTTGGATTTTAAAGTCTAAACTTAACTTCAGTAAAACATCTATGGTTGTATTTCTGCCTCACATTATGGTGTTAAATAACCTTCTAACTTCTGTCCCTCTCAAAAGTGTAAGATAAAGATGATAATGTATCAGTTATCCAAGTTTGAGTGAGTTCATATATCTTAGTCTACAGGGGGTTATTCCATTAGAATCAGACCAGCTTTTAGAAGTCAAGCTAATTTTAGGATTTCATGCTTATCCAGATGGCAGTAGGAATTCTAATAATCATATACAACCCTAAAAGAAATAATCATGACCATTTTGCTTAATCTGAAGATTGTTAGAGTGAGAAAGCAGATCTAATTACAACAGAATAACAAATACCAAGGGAATTTTAAACAGAAATCAGTATTAATAGTCTTAACTTGGTTTCTTTGGAAAAAGAGCTATTTAAGTCATAGTTCTAGCCCTGTGGTGTTCTTATTGTGTGCACCAAACTTACCTCCCCCTAGAGCCTAAGATGTAATTAACTCCTACAAAATCAGTTTGTGAACAAGGTTATCTTCTCTGCATTCCTCCTGCCAAGACTTTGCTTTGATAATATTCAGATATTTGCTTTATTATTAGCTGTTATTCTTCCCAGTAATGCTGAATTTAAGGGCTAATCTGAAAGTGTAAGTTACTTTATCACCCTCATGCTACCAAACCTGCACAAATACAGTGATTTCTATAAGCATGGCAGAAGGCTTACAGACTAACTACAGGCATAAATTAGTCTATGTTTTTTTCTAGATAGATGATATTTTTCTTTATTTATCTGTCCATGGAAATTGTTTTTTTCAGCAAGAGGTCAATATCGTTCAAAACATGACACTGCTGAAGTTACTAACACAATAAATTTATCTCCATTTGATTAAAAAAAAAGCACCCAGCCATATAAATCAGAGTAAAAGTTAAGGTAGTTTTTAAAGTTTTTCCTCTTTTACAAAAAGAATAGTTCAGCAAGCTTCTTTTGGGAGGAAAACAAAGCATTTTGGCTTCAGTTGAGTAATAGGTTACAAGGTAGCTGCACTGAGTTGTTTCACCGTAGTTTTAGTTTCTAATACTTACTGCAGTCTTTTGAAAGACTTGCTTCCTGACTTAAGTTTATATTTGTGAGGAACATCAGTTAGTTCCCACTTTAATACAAACACGGAGAACAAATGAGCAATATAGAATAAATTCTAGCCAAAACCACCACATTGTGTGCTACTAGGGAAAATATTTCAGTTGTATCCTTATTTTAAACCTTTCAAATAAAAGCAAAGACTCCTTGCAGAAGCCTGTCCTTAATCTAATTAAGACCTAAGGTTTAACTCTTGCAGAAAATTTTAATAATAAAACAAAACACCTTTTTTTAAAATAATAATGTTGATATTTTGAAAGTTACCAACTTCCTCTTCCCTTCTAGCCTGCATAAAGCCGCTGTACTTTCAGTACTGCTAAAAAGGACATGAACTCGCATGCATTAATGATACACACACACACACATACACAAAAGTTATTACCCCGTCTCCACAATGCAAGGATACACGAGCCATGTAAAGAAAGCACTGTTTGTTATTTTTTGAGGTGTTTCAAGAGGTTAGACATCTCTTGTCAATTCCACATTTTAAAATATATAATATTATTATTCTACACTCTTAATACATAAAAAATTAACAGATACATTTTTCTATTAAAAACCCCAGAACCTTAGCCAAGGACAAATAGGCCTTGAAAGCATTGTGTAAGCATTAACCAAAGCCCCTTTTCTAAATTCAAAGTTATGGGGTTTCTGACAGAACTTGTGGTCATGCAGATTTATTATAAGACTGATAATTTTACTAGCCATATCATAAATGGTTCATTCCTCCATTATTTCCACCTTCAATTTTTAAATAAAATAAAGATTGCAAGGTCAAGGATATAGTACCTTCAATAATTATTCTGCTGTCTATTAAACCTTTCACCTTCTATTTCTAAAGTCAGTCAGAATAAATACCACAGAAACAAAAATGGTTGGTCTCCAAGAATTTATACACAAACATACCAGATTTGCTTTAGTCTCTTGATGGTTATCTCCAGAAACATCCTTACAAAGGCTCAGATGTGACTACTGCACACCAGCCATTCACATAAGACTGAACTTCATACTCACCCATGTGCCTTGGAGAGCTAAACCAGCTCAGCCCTCAGGGAGGTGTTTTCTGTCTTAGCTGCTTCTGCCAGTGCAGAAAGTTCAGTTCTCTTTGTTACAAGAGCATTCGTACTAAGGAAGTGAAGTGGTGATTTGGTGCTTAGAGCTTGCCGGTTGAAAGTAGTTAATTGGAAACAATTGTGCCTCACACCTGATTTGATTCTGCAATGCATCAGCAATAGGCACACTTTCAACTTGAATGAATGTTAGTTTTTCATATTTCCTCCTTTCTTGATTAGCAAAGTGACAGGTTTTCCCGGGGCTCTTAAGCAAGAAAAACATTACTAAGAAATAGTTTCCTAAATAAACATAGCAAATTTAACTCTGTTAAACACAGAACTTTGTAAACAAGTTAAACACTGATCTTCAATACATACAGTCTGCTGAGCAGCTGAGAAATATTACCTTCCTGCAACAATGGTAACTTACCCCTCCTGCACAAAGGTGACTACTGCAAACGTCACCAAGTGAATATCTGCAATAGCTACATCAAATTGTTACTCACTGATTTTCTGAATTCTAAATATATATATATTTTAATAAAAGAATACATTATTTATAGAGAGAATGAAAATCACATCAGCAGTTTTACATCTTATTTAACTGTCAGAATCCCAGATAGTAAGCAATATAAAAGGAACAAATTCTGCTATATACTATATGTATATATATGTATGTACACTTTTCCCCCAATGTTAGTTTGTAGCTGTGTCGATCGGTTGCTTTACCTGTCTTACCTGGCTGTATGAATTCCAGTGCTGCTACCAAAGTAAAGGCAAGACTAACCTCTGCAGTCCCAACATAGATTGGCTCGAGGTGCTGCAGAATTTCAAGGCGGTACTTGTTAATATCTTCAGTGTGAAGGATGTGATTTTCCAGCACCTAGAAGCTAGTACGGTTCACTAGGAATTACTCATACAGAAGTTAATGGTCTTCATTTCATAATTTTCTGCACATCTACAAATTAAGAAACATTTTTAACATGAATGATTAAATACAAAAGCACATTTCCAGAAAGGAGAGTTCTGTATCTATCCTCTTACTTCTCTATTACAACAGTGAAATAGTATTTTGCAGCCCAGACTAGGAAGTGATGCTTTCTGACAAGATTGAATCTTTTTGTTAGTATGAGTCTAATGGGGATCATTGAGTCACACTTGCTTTTTTGGCTCTGATTATTTTGTTTCTTGATTAAAAAATGTTTCTGGTACTAGAACAAGAGGTCATGGGTTACAGAATGTTGACACCATGGATCAATCAGAATTTTCTCATATTCTTTAGTGTTTCTTTTACCACTTTTTATTTAGAGCCCACTTTCTAGGTAGCAAATCTACCAATGTCCTAAATAGGAGATGGGATGGGTTTTTTTGAACTCTGCAAATTAAACTGGTTACATACTGTTTGATTACTGTTCTTGTCTCTTATGACTTTTTCCTATCTGGATAGGAAAACACTGCAAAAAAAGATTTTTACCACTAGGATTTTTTATCACAAATCTGCCTTGTATTCTCACTCTGAGAAGGATGTGAATCAATCATACAGAGAGCAACCATTTGGTTATTCTGTAAAATTTCAAATATATAAACTTTCAGTTCTGCCGTGTATATTTTTGATGCCTTTATGGAACCAGTTAACCTACTGGCACACCTGAAATTCATACAGACTTTGGTGTTTTTCAGATGGAAGAGACAATAGGATTGCGACCAGCATGCAGCGATACCCTCAATTGTTCCAGCAGTAGAAATAAAGCCCAAAAGTGAAGGTAAGGAGATTTTGCTTGACGTCATAAAGTACAAATGGTCAAAGCACACAGTAAGTAAAAAAAGTAAGAGCTTTTTCTTTTTTTTAAACATACAAATGCCCTAGGTAAAAATAGCTAACACATACATTGTTTGGCTTGTTATCAGGCTAAATTAAATATCTGAAATAGGATCAATAGCTGTCAGCCTGTTTTCACTATACTGAACATTTTAAGAAAAAATGGTAGCAGCTATTTCACATTATAAATCACATGTTAAATAGATTGCTGCTCTTGGTATGCATGCTTCTTGCTTCAGCCCTTGTCTGTTCCAGTATTAAGGTATGCTTTAGGAAGATGCAACATTTCTCAGCTTCTTTTCTGGAGTAGCACCCTCCCTGCCCTTTGACACTTAAAAGAATTTGAGTGCTTTCTCTTTTGGTCAGGAAGCGATAAAAGGTGAGAAATAGAGCCTATTAAGATGGTGAGTTTGTTTGTTCCAGCTCATCAGTGAGAAGGAAACAAATGAATCATTACAGGTCTCTGAAAAAAGCTCTTGGGATCAGATTTTCTTAAGAAGGTATTTTACTTCATCAGTATATTTGTTTACTAAAAAGACACCACTGAATAACTACATAAAACGCGTTACAACAGACAACATTCATGCTGACTGTGGCTTGCGCACTTTCTTAGGTGCTTGCTTTGGTGTTTTTGAAGACTTCTTGGCTGACTGTATTGATTTCCCAGCTTTAGGTGTTGCAAAAGACTTTGCTTCAGGCTTTTTGGGAGTCTTTTTCATCTCTTTTTCTTTTATTGCTTCTTTTGGCATGCTGAGTTGCTTGGCTTTTTTCTGTTTCAGTGATGTCTGCAAGTCTGCAAGCTCTTCTGTAACTTGAAGTTTTGGTTTTGGAGTCTCCAGAGCTAGAGGTTGTTTCTTTCTCTTACCGTGGGGTGTTTTAGTTTTCTTGCCCAGGTTGTCATCTTTTTCTGGACGTGCTGCCATTTTCTGTATTTAAGACACATAAAAAAATTACCCTTCCACCTAAGAAACATCCCTCCTGTTTTTCAAGAAGAATACTCTATGAAAAACATATATGACAAATATTTTCTATTGATTCAACTCTGCTCTAGCCCAAATAACCTGTTCTCATTTCAGTCTGGAAGCAGAAGATTAAACACAGAACTAAATAATGGAAATAATGAAAAATAACAAAGCAGTAATAAAGTAAATAGACAACAAATGCAATGATCCTCTTGGCCAGTGAAGTCACTGACCTCTGCTGGCAGAGCTTTAAACCACAGTCCTTTTCTTGCCACATTTCCAGGCTTAATAGAGGGAATACAGATCAGCTCTATTTGAAGTCCAGCTGCAGACACACAAACTGACTGCACTCCTATCTGTGCACTAGGCCTGGTATTCCCTAGAATTCATCACATATTCACAAAAAGCCCTCAGAGAAAGCTGTTGTCAGTAGAACCATTCATACAACACAACTCTAACTGTATCTATCCCAGGTCTCTGGAAACAGGTCTCTGGCAAACACATCATGAGCTAATCCAGACCTGTTGCAGAAAAGCAGTTTGAAGCAACCTATATAAGTTTTTCTGATAACTTCAGTTTGGGCAAAAGTGCATCATTAAGAGTTTAATTTATAAGTGGTGTTGTTTTATTCATCCAAATATTTTTCCTAGATATTTGTTAAACGTGTTATCAGTCTGGTTGTTTTGTAACAAGGTTAATGACATGATTCACAGCATCCCTAATACTGACAACAATAAGTCCATACAGCATTTCATGCAAGCTGCTAGCTCTCAATTTATATTACGTGATTGTTAATGTTGTATATCACTATCCTAGAGAACATTATTTGTTTTTCCTCAAGTTTTGCACTCCAGGCAGGAAATGATACATTAAAATTTAAATTATTTTGAATTAAAAATTTTATGATTCACTTGATTAAGTATTAAAAGCTGCTTCTCAATCATTTACCCTTTCTTCTGACTTCAGGCTTGTTACTCGACCCAGGCAAAATTGCTGCTATTTTCAGAAAAATACATAAAAGGACAATAACCACTGGTTTCCTCTGTCTGTAAGAGGGGTCAACTAAGAAATAAGTAAACCCTCAAAACATAACAACAACAAAAAAAACTAAATAAAAAAACCCCAAACAAACAAAAAAAACCACACACAAAAAACCCAAACCAAAATCTCCTCAAGGCACCTCCCCTCACACTCAGCTCTTGGTTTCATGATATATTAAAAAAAAACAATCCAGTTCACTTGAAGTGTGTTAATACACACTCTTCCCTAATTTAAACAGTTCAAAATCTTAAAATTTAACTGAAATGTGAGCTTCTCAATATTATTCAACAATTACCTCCAGCTCAGCTAAGATGGTTGTTTGCATAGGCACCAGTTGTGGAATTTCTTCATCATCATCATGATCACCTGCTTCTTGGACAGCTTCTACCTTTTCTTTTATTGCAAGCTCCTTGGTAGCAGCACCCGCATCATTTTCAGTTGTTGAAGTGACTTGACTTGAATTCTTTTTTTTAGCTGACTTCTTTGGTTTCTTCTTCTTTTCCTTCTAGAATTAATTGGAAGTACATCTCAGGCAAACCCCCATAACAGTTCTAAATGTATAATAACTGTTTCAATATGGTGAAAAATAAGAGAGTCTAGCAACGTTAATTTAAATATTGTTGTTTAATACACCTGGACTGGTCAACCGTATGTAAAATATGAAAAAATGCATTACTTTCAGAAGTTTATTATTGTTTACTTATGAGCTGTTTATTATAATGTCCAGATACAGTCTTTAAGTTGAATACATATGCTCCAAATTTATTTTAGACAAAACAAGCAGAAGTCAGTGCAAAGGAATAGCTAATATTTTTCTATTTCTTAAAAAAACAGGTGAGCTTCCCCTCGTATATACAAGTATATAAACTTGTGAATTATTCAGATGCCACTGATTAGCAAATAAATAACGGATGAATAGTCTGTATCTGTGTATGTTAATTAATGTATTTTCAGAGGGCAAATGTGAATAAACAATACAAGCAAGTGTTTTAAGAATGAATCTCAGTTGTCTAGAGTTTAGGACTAGAAATGCTTAACTTATTTCCAGTTATCAGGGAGTTTCCATAATTTTGTTAGAATTACTGAATATTTGAAGGGCTCAGAGTCAGGAGCACCTAAACCATTTGTAGCCATAAATGCCTGGGATCAACTGCTAAAACATTTTTACCCAACACATCAGATACTATAGTGCATGAAAGGAAGGCAAAGAACTAGTCATTCTAATTTGGTTTTATGGAAAGTTTGAAGAATTCTTTTTTTTTTTACCTTTACTTGCTTTTTTACTTCCTTTTTTTTGAGAGATGGCTGGCTGTCAAGCTCATCCAAGTTGGAGATATTTGCAGTAAAAATTGGAAGTGCAACTGATTTAAGTGTTTTGAGGTGAAGAATCTTCACATTTTTCCAATTCTGCAACAACAAAAACAGTACGTTATGTAAAAATAACACGGCTGAATTACGAACTGGCTCGGCTTTAGCACAGTCAATCAGCAGTACCTTTGGTAACTTCTTAGCAATCACCTCAGCTGCTGCCATGATATTATCTAGTATCTCATCGGCTTTCATTCCAGTGTGACCTACACGTGCTGTACTGAAAGGACAAAAGAGTAATATTTATATGTGGGCAAATAAACATATGTCAAGTTACTTGTTCTTAAGCATACCCAGAAATTAAAAAAAGCCCACTTATCTGCAATTATCTTCACTTTCATAAAGTCTTTTGTAATAACAGTCAGAATAAATTTACCTGGATTAATCTTTCCATATTTGGATATGCAACTTCTGCCTTATATTACTAAGCCTATTACCAATTTAGATAAATCTTAGATGCACAATAAATGAAAAAAAGTTTTACAAGAACAGATTTACAAGAACTAATTTAACAGAAACATTTTTCTATGATTGTATGTGCTGTTTGACAGCGACTGTTGCCTAGAAACTCCTTACATATAAGGAAAAAGAGACGAAAAGTAAAACTTTACAGTAAAACTTCTCAATAAGTAGAACTACTGATTTCTTCATATGGGTTAAGGTTCAAAATGGCCCATATCTGGAATGCTGAACCTTAATCTCTTCTATTCACATATTAATGGAATAAAAGTAACTCATTTAAAATTCCTACAGTTAAGGTACAACCGTCCTTCAAGCGAAGTATTAATCTCCTCATACTTACTAACAGCACCCTTTGTTGGTAACTGGGAGTGTAGTCCCCTGGATATGTTTTTGTAGTTCCTTAGCAAGATTTCTGGCTTTCAGGTTTACAGATAAAGGTACCCTAAAAAAGAAAGGAGGGAAATTTAAAAAAAAAAGTTACAAAAAAACCCTAAACCAAACAAGCCAAACCAAAACCCAACCCCCTCCAAAAAACCCCAACAAACCAAAACTTTACTAAGAATAATCCAGTGTTAAAAAAGCTAATGCAAAATGGATACACAGAATTTAAAGACCTACTTTTTCCTCTCATAAAAGTGTTTTCCTAGATGTGAGGGCAAGAGCCTTCTAATTCGGTCATCAGACAGAAAGAGATCAAATCTGTTCAGGAGGCGACGCTTTGCTTCAAATAGTTTATACTCTTTTTTGAGGGTTTTATACGAGATGACCTGCAATGCAAGTAACAGTTTAGTCCCCACTGCTGAAAACACAGCCTAGAA